TGATAAACAGAGTGAAAGTGGAGAAGAGAAAGTGTACACACTGATTAAGCTTATAAAGTTATGACAAACAGATATTGGCTGCAGTTTGTTAAGCGTCTGTTCAGTAAAAGAAAAAAAATGGAAATGATATATCGAGATGGATAGATACGTAAACCCCAGCTTTGTAATAAGGTATAGACAGGCATGATCCACCAACACATTCGTAAACACTGTATATATAGTGTATCTATCTGTCACCTAGCATTAAGGGGGGCGCAGTTTGTTTACAAGAAGAAGCTCTTGGCTAAGAGACTGTCGGAATTCATTTGAAATCAAGGCTGGTTGTGTACAGTCCTTGGGGTTGTGTATATATATAGACGTATGTGCAAACAGAAATGATAATTCAGCTATACGTATGATCGCTTTTGCTTATAGACACAAGAGTTGCATCATGCGCTAAAATGGGCATCCTGTGGTCCGATATCTGGCCTTGATGGGGAGCCTTCTAAAGGAACGAGTAATGCAGGCGAGATGTGTGCCAGGGGACGCAGCCGTGCCGACACAGAGAGAGGCATGGAGGCGACGGGCAGGGGGCAGGAGGGGGCAGGAGGGGGCGCCTCGTGTCCTCCTGAGGGTGAGACGACGAAACTACGCTGGCACACGATCAAAGAAGAGAGAAAAGGACATGCTACAGCGATGTGGGAGGGAAAGGAGAGAGAGAGAGAGAGAAAGAGAGAGAGAGAGAGAGTGAGAGAGAGAGAGAGAGAGAGAGAGAGAGAGAGAGAGAGAGAGAGGGGGGGGGACTGACAGATTGATATATATATATATATATATATATATATATATATATATATATATATATATATATATATATATACATATCAATCAGACAGACAGATAGAAAGACAGACAGACACATAGAGATAGAGATAGATAGATAGATAGGGAGAGAGAGAGAGAGAGAGAGAGAGAGAGAGAGAGAGAGAGAGAGAGAGAGAGATGACTTGGCACCAGACAAGGTCCCTATGAAGGTATTTCTCTTACTTTAGCCTTGTGTCGTTTATTTCCCTTCCTCTTCCCTTCCATCTACTCCCCCACCTCCTACTCCTGCTTCTTTCCCTCCTTCTCCTTTTCCTCCTTCTCCTTCACCTCCTCTACCTCTACCTCGTTCTCCTCTTTTTTATTTCTTTTCTTCTTCTTCTTCTTCTTATTATTATTATTATTATTATTATTATTATTATCATTATTATTATTATTATTTGTCGTCGTCGTCGTCGTCCTCCTCCTCCTCCTCCTCCTCCTCCTCCTCCTCCTCCTCCTCCTCTTCCTCCTCCTCCTCCTCCTCCTCCTCCTCCTCTTCCTCTTCCTCCCCCTCATTCTCCTCCCTTTCCTTCTGCTCTTCCTCCTCCTCTTTCTCCTCCTTCACCTTCACCTTCACCTCCTCCTCCTTCTCCTCCTCCTCCCCCTCCTCCTCCTTCTCCACGTGATCAGTGCATGCGAGATGAGTGCTCGTGGGAGTCTTAAGGCAGCGTCGGTTTAACAATAAATATGTGATTTTAAAAACACGTAAATAAAGAGAGGCGTAGAAGAGATTTTGTCGACGCACATTCGTGAATAAATGTGTAAAGGAAGTTTAGAGATTTACAGGCAAACGTACATGTATACGTGTATACATACAGACATTTATATATATATATATATTATTATTATTATTATTATATTATTATTATTATTATTATATTATTATTATTATATTATTATTATTATTATTATTATATTATTATTATTATTTGTCGTCGTCGTCGTCCTCCTCCTCCTCCTTCTCCACGTGATCAGTGCATGCGAGATGAGTGCTCGTGGGAGTCTTAAGGCAGCGTCGGTTTAACAATAAATATGTGATTTTAAAAACACGTAAATAAAGAGAGGCGTAGAAGAGATTTTGTCGACGCACATTCGTGAATAAATGTGTAAAGGAAGTTTAGAGATTTACAGGCAAACGTACATGTATACGTGTATACATACAGACATTTATATATATATATATATATTATATATATATATATTATATATATATATATTATATATATATATATTATATATATATATATATACATATCAATCAGACAGACAGATAGAAAGACAGACAGACACATAGAGATAGAGATAGATAGATAGATAGGGAGAGAGAGAGAGAGAGAGAGTGAGAGAGATGACTTGGCACCAGACAAGGTCCCTATGAAGGTATTTCTCTTACTTTAGCCTTGTGTCGTTTATTTCCCTTCCTCTTCCCTTCCATCTACTCCCCCACCTCCTACTCCTGCTTCTTTCCCTCCTTCTCCTTTTCCTCCTTCTCCTTCACCTCCTCTACCTCTACCTCGTTCTCCTCTTTTTTATTTCTTTTCTTCTTCTTCTTCTTCTTATTATTATTATTATTATTATTATTATTATTATCATTATTATTATTATTATTTGTCGTCGTCGTCGTCGCTCCTCCTCCTCCTCCTCCTCCTCCTCCTCCTCCTCCTCCTCCTCCTCCTCCTCTTCCTCCCCCTCATTCTCCTCCCTTTCCTTCTGCTCTTCCTCCTCCTCCTTCTCCTCCTTCACCTTCACCTTCACCTCCTCCTCCTTCTCCTCCTCCTCCCCCTCCTCCTCCTTCTCCACGTGATCAGTGCATGCGAGATGAGTGCTCGTGGGAGTCTTAAGGCAGCGTCGGTTTAACAATAAATATGTGATTTTAAAAAGACGTAAATAAAGAGAGGCGTAGAAGAGATTTTGTCGACGCACATTCGTGAATAAATGTGTAAAGGAAGTTTAGAGATTTACAGGCAAACGTACATGTATACGTGTATACATACAGACATTTATATATATATATAACTCTCACGTCATACACACACACATGCACACATTCATGCAAACATTGAAGTTCACTAGTACACACACTTCTCAGCTTTCAAATCCAGACATATATATATTTTTTTCTGTTTGTCTTTCTTTATGTTTGTATTTCTGCCACTCTTTCGCTTTTTTTCTCTCTCTATCTGTCCACTTCTAGTCCATAAATCGAATGAGATGCCCACCAGTGCATGATCGCCAGGGCATAGATGCAGTGTCATGATACCCACAGTACTTTTCCCACGTACATCCTTGCCATTAACCTCGTAAGCACTCCCG